ACAGGGTGTTTCCGGGAAGTGATGTGTCCTAAATGGAACACAGCTCAGCGGAGTGACAAAGAGAGGAGGGGCTGCATCTTCCCATTGCGTAGCCCATAGAGGCTTCTCTGGGGAGGTGATTTTTAGAATTTTTATTTGGTATCTATTTTACATGCTATCATGCTCACTCTTTAAAAGTGCCCAATTCAATGGGTTTCAATAAATTCACAAGGCTGTGAAACCATCACCACTATCTAATTCCAGGAGATCTCCATCATCTTACAAAGGTCCCCATGCCCATCAGCTCTCACCCCCATTCTTCCCTCCCCACCCTGGAACCTCTCATCTACTTCCTGTCTCCGTGGACCTGCCTGTTCTGGACATTTCATAGAAATGGAATCATATATATGTGTTTGTTGTGACTGGTTTCTTTCTCTTAGCGTAATGTTTCAAAGTTTGCTCACGTGGTAGCATGTGTCGATATTTTATTTCTTTTTATGACAATATCATATTTCATTGTGTGGATAATACCACACCTTTTTTATCCTTTCATCCATTGGTAGACATTTGCATTGTTTACACTTCTTGGGTTTTATAATGTTGCTAGGGACATTTGTGCATAAATATTTTCGTGGGAACATATGTTTTCATTTGTCCTGGGTGTATACCTGGGAGTGGAATTGCTGGGTCATATGGTATTGAATAATTCTATGTGTAACTGTTGGATAAGCTGCCAAACTATGTTTTTCTGAGCAGCTGTGCCATTTTACATTCCCACCAGTGGTGCATGAGGGTTCTAATTGCTCCACATCCTTGCCAACCCTTGTTATTATCTGGTTTTGTGATTCTAGCCATCCTAATGAATATGAAGTAGTATTTAACTGTAATTTTGATTTGCATTTCCCTAATGACTAATAACATTGAGGATATTTTCATATGCTTATTGGTCATTTTTATATCTTCTCTGAAGAAAGTCTATTCAAGTAATTTCCCTTTTTAAAATTGGGCAATTTGTGTTTTTATGTTGAGTTATAAGTGTACTTTATATATTGTTGATACTAGACTCTTATCAGATAAGTGATTTGCAAGTATTTTCTCACGCTCTGTATCTTGTCTTTTCATTCCCTTGATAGTGTCCATCGATGTACAAAAGTTTTTAATTTTGATGAAGTCCAACTTGTCTATTCCTTTGGTTGCATGCTATTTGGGTGTATTGAGAAGAATTCATTGTCAAAGCCAAAGTCACAGAGATTTACATATCTTCTCTTAGAGTTGTACAGTTTTAGCTCTTACGTTTAGGTCTTTGATCCATTTTTGGTGAAAGCTTGTGTGTGGCGTGAGGTCTCACCTCATTCTTTTGCATGTAGACATCCAGTTGTCCCAGAGCCATTTGTTGAAGACTGTTCTTGTCTTGGCATCTCAACTCGTTTTTGTACCTGTGTTTGTGGGGTGTTGATTTTCTTCACTTCCTTGGAACCCTTCTTTACCCAAACATCATTTTCTCTGTCCCTGTGGAGTTCCACCCTCTGCCCTCATAGACCAGTATTTAGCTACAGTCTTGAGGACCCCTCTGCACGTTTCGGGAGCTCTTCCTCTGCACAGTGCTCTCCTGTCTGCTTCCTTGTCTCCCACATTCTAGTCATCTGCGATGCCCAGAGTCCAACCTGCATCCTGCCCACGCCGTCTGACTCCTTGCTCTGTTGGGTTCCTCTCTCTGTGGTGGCTTGAAATTCCCTACAGGCATAAAGCTGCCATGATCCAGCTGAGCTCGTTAGCTCCCACTCTCAGGGATCACAGCCTGCGCTGTCTGAGTTCGGTGTCTGAACACAAGCGTTTCGCACCTGGGGGCCAGTTTCCCTCTGTTTGTGGTGGGACAGTTAGGTCCATCCCCTGTTCTCCTGGATGCCCAGGTAGAAATCAATGCACCCTCCTGGGTTATTGCCGCGTCTTTCTGACTGCTTTCTTTGCTTCTGTATTGGGCCCCCAAATATCCTGGGTTATTGCCGCGCCTTTTCTAACTGCTTTCTCTGCTTCTATATTCAACCCCCAAATCTGTGCTCAGTGCAGCAACTGGAGAGACCCCTTAAATACGGAAGTCGCAGCTTTGCCTTTGTCGGAGCTCCCCAGGGTCCTTCACTCAGAGTACAAGCTGAAGTCCTCGTCGTGGTCCTCATGCCCTTCACAGCAGTTCCGCCCTCTCCCCAGGTTCACATATGGCCAGTCTCCCTGGATCATTTGCTGTGGCCACTCTGCCATGTGTTCCTGGAAACCGCCAGTGCTCTCCCACCTCCAGGCTGGCACTGGATGCTCCTGCCACCTGGACTCCTCTTCCAGCTGACGAGCTCGTAACTTGCTTCCTTCAGGTCTTAAATTCGATGTTTGAATGCCACCTTGGCGAGGCTGTTCCTCATCATTTCATTTAAAGGACCAATAACCCCTTGTCCCAGCACTCCCTGTCCAACTTTCCACTTTGCTTTTTCCATAACACTGATTTCCATTTAAAATAATATATAATTATATGAACCAGTGACCCATAGGATCCAGAGACAATAGATTGAACAGGGATTGCTTGCACAATGAACAATCAGCTATAGAGGTTTAAAGAGAACCACAAAAAATGGCTCAGGATTGCAGGAGGGCAGTTAAGGAAGACATAAATGGGGGCGGGGATCCTTTCCACAAGCCTGGGTTCAGATCTCATGGGAAAAGGTGTGGTTCTCCCAAGGGATGCTAGAGAAGTTTGCTGGGTTGCCCGGCCACAGCTGGCCTATGGTGAGAGCAGAGGCCAGCAGGCAGGGAAATGCAGTCTGCGTCTGGCAAGCAGGAAGCCTCTCTTCTCTCCCAAGGCAGGTGGGCTGGGGCTGGGAAGCCTACAAAAGTCACTGGGAACCCACATGTGCGGATGCCACTGAATCTCCATAGGAAGCCATCTGGGGGGTCCCCTGAATTCAATGTGGTGAGTGCCGCCAGATGTTCCTGACTTGTGCCACTGCCATCTGTATAGTAAGAGAAAGAAAAAGAGAGAAATGGAAGCGTCCTAGAACCAGGCATCCTGGACCCAGCCTGGGAGGCACTTTCCCCTACGCCTCTACTAACAAAGCTTAGCATCGCGCCAGGTGCACAAGAGAAGCGCCTGCTGGCTCCAGCTCCATTACCTCAGAATCGGCCGTGAAGGGTGCATTTGGTGCTGGAGGCAAGATATTGATAGCTGGCACCACAATTCACTTATTTATTTTGTTCATTTTATGTCCCCTGCACCTAGAATATGAGCCACACGAGTGCAAGACATTTGTTTTATTCACTGATGTATTCCTTGTGCCCAAAGAATGAGAGGTATCTAGAAAGTCTGCAAAAATCAAACATAAAAATGAACTTTTATCATTGTTATTTTGATGGATATTGGAGGCATTTCCAAGATTTGTAAGTAAAGATTGAACCCATCTACTGATTCATATGTGGGAGTGTATCTGTGGAAATGATGCTTCTGAGTGGAGTTGCTGAGTCTTCGGCTCTAAATTTTTCTTTTTTTTTTTTTAAAGCGTTTATGCTCATTGTGGTTTTTAAAATAAACATTTAATCTTGAGACACTGTAGATTCCCAGGCAGTTGTAAAAAGCCACACAGAGCTATCATGTGTATCTTCACCTGGCTTGCTCCAGCCCCAACCCCAGCAATGACAGACCTGTTATCCACTACTGCAATCTGCTCATTTCAAGAATGTCATCTATTGCAATCATAAAATTGTGGGATTATTGGCTTTTTTTTCCCCATGCAGCGGCATCATTCTCTGGAGAGTCATCCCATTGTTGCATTTATCAGTAGTTTATCCCTTTTTACTTCTGAGTAGTGCTCCGTGGTATGTATGTACCACAGTCTGTTTAACCATTCACCTGTTGGAGGACGTCTGTGTTTATAGATTTGGGCTATGACACATGTACAGGTTTTTGCATTGACATCAGTTTTCATTTCTCTGGGACAAAGTCCCAGGGGTTCTATTGCTGGGTTCTATGCTTGTTGCAGGGTTAGCTTGTTTTTGTTTTGTTTTGTTTTAACCTGTCAAGCCATTTTTCAGAAGCTTTCCAGTTTCCATGCATCCTCACCAGCTTCAGTGTGAGCACTATGATCTTATCTCAGCCACCTTGATAGGTATGTACTGATATATCATGGCTTTTATTTGCGTTTCACTGATGACTAATGGCATTGAGCATCTTTTCATGTGTTGATTTGCCATCTACATCTCTCTAGTCAAGTGTCCCTTCACATCTTTTGTCTACATTCTATTTTTGAAACTGTTGAGTTTTGAAAAATTCTTTATAAAGTATAGAAACTAATTCCTTGTTGAACACGTAGTTTGTCAATATTTTCTTTCAGTCTTTAGCTCCTCTTTTTATTCTCTTAACAGGGTCTCTTACAGAGCAAAAGGTTTTTATTTTGATGAAGTCTATTTTATTAATTTTTCCTTTTATGGATCATATTTTTGGTGACAAATCTAAAACCTCCTGACCCAGCTCCATATCCCAAAAGTTTTCTTATTGTTTTCTAAAGCTTTTATAGTTTTAAGTTTTATGTTTAAGTCTATGATCCATTTTGAGTTAATTTTCATACAGGGTGTGAGACGTAGGTTGTGGTTCTTCTTTTTGTTTGGTGGTTTTGTCTGTGGATGTCCAGTTGCTCCAGCCCATTTGCTACAAAAGCTATCTTTCATTGAATTGCTTTTGCATCTTTGTAAAAACTTAATTGAGTATATGTGTGCAGGTCTGTTTGAGGATTCTTTATTGTCTGTCCCATTGATCTATGCATCTGTCCATCTGCTAGCTATAGAATGAGTCTTGAAAGGGTAGCCTGTAGCAGGGTATGGTGGTGTGCACCTGTAATCCCAGCTACTTGGGGGACAGAGACAGGAGACTCGCTTGAACCTGGGAGGTGGAGTTTGCAATGAGTCGAGATTGTGCTACTGCACTCCAGCCTGGGTGACAGAGCAAGACTGTGTCAGAAAAAGAAGAAGGAGGAGGAGGAGGAGGAGGAGGAGGGGAGGATGTATGTGAAGGCCATGGTGGTCGATAAGGACTTTCCGGAGGACAGGAAGCCCAGGAAGGTGTCCCCAGTGAAGGTGACAGCCCTGGGCGGTGGGGACTTGGAAGCCACGTTCACCTTCATGTGAGTGTTGCCCACTGCGGGGCCCCTCAGGCCACTATCTCCCCTCCCCAGACCCACCTGGTGCCCATTGCCCCATCCTGGTTTTGGGTGTTGGTAAGAATCACCCCCTGCCTTGGAGGGAAACATCCCGGGCATGCTAAAGCTCGGTGGGGAGGGGGGGAGCAGTGGAATTTTCAGGCGCCAGGTCAAGGCCATGCACCAGGTGAGCTGAGGATGGCCCAGGTGTGTCCTGGGAGCCGCTGCCCACGTGTCTCCTGTTTTCCAGGAGGGAGGATCGGTGCGTCCAGAAGAAAATCCTGATGTGGAAAACGGAGGAGCCCGGCAAATTCAGTGCCTGTGAGCTCCTCTCCCACCCCACCGCCACCCTCCCCCACCATCAACCCCAGCTGCACCAGCCCCACCACAGGCAGAGAGTGCCCGGGCTGCCCTTTTGCCAGGGTCCCAGCCTTGCCCACCTCCAAGGAGGGGCTGGCCCGTCCTTCCCCGGAGGCTAGTGGCCCTGACGTCAGACACCAGGTGTGTCCAGGGCACCTGGGTGACCACTGAGACATTCCTGAGTGTTTCTTCGTGTGGTCCTGAGTGCTCTCTCTGTGAATGACCCATCTTCTCTGTCATCTACAGATGGAGGCAGGAAGCTCATATATGTGCAGGAGCTGCCCGGGAGGGACCACTTCGTCTTTTACTGCAAAGACCAGCACCGTGGGGGCCTGTTCCACATGGGAAAGCTCATGGGTGAGGGGCCCGCTGGGGCCTGCGTGTCCTGCCCCACGGTCTCTGCCTCCAGAAGCCAGTGGAACCAGCATCACCACGCCCTGGCACGGGGGGAAGAGGAAGCCCCCTGTGCCGGCCTTCATGTGCCGCGCACCGCTGGGCAGGCGGTCCAAGTACCTGAAGTGGGAATGGGGTGGGCCAGGCAGGGACAGACACGGCCTCGGTGACATGAACCTGCCAAGGACTGCTTCTGGGGTCTCCAGTGTAGGAGGGTCACCTGAATGGGGAGGTAGCATCCTAACAGGGCTCTTCATGGCACAGGGAGCCTCCAGGGTGGGAAGGTGGCCAGTGCCTCTGGGACACAAGGTCCCTCCAGGTGAGGGCTGTGACCCTGCAGCGTGGCTTTGGGAGCTGCCGAGGTCCCCTGGGGTTGCTGAGTGGCTTGGAGAGTCCCCGCCACTGTCCCCCTTCCTGGGGACCTCTCACCTGGGTGGTGGCCATCTGCTCTGTCCCCAGCCCCACCCCAGAGCTCTGGTTCACTCTTGGGCCTCTCCCCCTGTCCTGGTGCTGGGCAGTGGCCGTCTTCTCTGTCCCCCAGTCCCACTCCGGAACTCCCGTCCAGTCTCGGGCCTCCCCTCCCCCTTGTCCGGTGCTGGGTGGTGGCCGTCTCCTCTGTTCCCAGCCCCACCCCTGAACTCTGGTCCACTCTCGGGCTTCTCCCCCTGTCCTGGTGCTGGGCCGTGGCTGTCTTCTTTCGGCATCTGCTCCCTGCAGGGCCATGTCGCTGTCCCCACCTCGGCTCACCTGTAGCCACCTCACCTGCAGGTAGGAATCCTGACATCAACATGGAGGCCCTGGAAGAATTTAAGAAATTCGTGCAGCACAAGGGACTCTCGGAGGAGGACATTTTCATACCCCTACAGACGGGTGAGAGGACAGCTGTGCCCAGTCCCCCGTGTTTCCCCCTGTGTCTCTCTGTGACCTCCAGTGTCCCATGACCCCTGTGTCCTCCCATGTACCCCGCATTCCCCGTGTGCCCTGAGTCTCCTCACAGGGACTCCCGGGCCCCGCTTAGGGTTCTTGTCATTGAAGAGTCTGAACTCTGGGCTGTGATGGGGTCCAGGCCCTGCTTAGGGTCCTCATCCTTGGAGGGTCTGAGCTCTGGGCTGTGATGGGTCGGGCCTGCTTAGGGTCCTCATCCTTGGAGGGTCTGAGCTCTGGGCTGTGATGGGGTCCGGGCCCTGCTTAAGGTCCTCGTCGTTGGAGGTTCTGAGCGCTGGGCTGTGATGGGGTCCGGGCCCTGGTCCAGGGCGTCTTCTCATCCTTGGGTTTTTCTTGGTCTCTGCAGGAAGCTGCACTCCCGAACACTAGCGTGAGTGAGCCTTTGGGAGGACACTGGACAAGCCCAGAGTCCTGGGTTCCCAGGGTTCAAAGGTCCATCTGTTCTGGCTCCTGCCATCCCACACAAGCAGGGAGACCCCCCGGGGTCAGGCACGAGGTTGGCACCTCTCAGAGTCTGCCCACCCACAATTCCTGGGACATTTGGGAAGTCCTTTGTTTCACCTATTCCCGCGCCTGCCAGCCCGAGTGAGCGTCCTCCTCGGCCCTTCCACAGCGAGGCCTCCCTTGGGCTCCCTCAGGTGTCAGCTCGGCCCATCGCCCCCTGCATCTGTCCCCACTCGGTCGTCTTCCCCCAGTCCACTCACTGAGGATGCTCAGAGGCCTGCCCGGTCATTGGAGGAGCTGAGGTCACTCTGGAGCCCCAAGGTTGCCCAGCAGTGGCTGATGTGGGGGCTGCAGATCCTAGGGAGGGAGCTCTGGGCCTGGCCTCTGCCCTACCCTATGGCCTCCCTAACCTCTGCTCTTCCTAGCACAGCAGCCCCTAGTCTGCACCCAGAGTCCACCCTGCTGCCAGACACGGAGCCCGGACTGCCTGGACCTACCCTCCAGCCATGACCCTTCCCTGCTCCCACCCGCCTGACTCCAAATAAAGAGCTTCTCCCCCAGCTCTGGGCAGGCCTCTCTGTGGGGATGGAGGGACTTGCACCGGCTCCCTGGGAGGCCTGCTGGGAGGGGGAGCCACAAGGGAAGCTGGGGAGACGTTGGACCTAGCAAGCGTCAAACCACGAGAGGCATGACGTCAAACAGGCCTGCAGGGCCACGTGATGTCCTGGAGGGGCCTCCTGTAGAGCCACCCTCAGGTCTCAGGTTTAGCTTAGGACAGGCAGGGCCCTGGGCAGGAGCGTTTGGAAAGCCACTGGGGAGGACAGGAGTGGGGACACAGTGTCAGAGCTGCAGCAGTGGGGCCACTGCAGGGCTCCTGTCCCAGGGGTCTCAGAGGGATCCTCCGAGTGGCCCCACTTTAGCAGCCTGGGTTCAGTGGCAGCGCTGGAGAGAGGGGCACTGGTGCCTCCATCATCACCCCCAGAGCAAGGCAGAGCAAGCCCCAGTCTCCGAGATCCTTGGCCCCACCCTGGCCTTCCCATGGTTTGTTCAGGGGCCATGGTCTGTACAGACACTGGGGCTGCTGGGACATGAGGAGGCCGACCGCAGCGAGGGAGGAGAGACCACTGCACCGCAGTGATAAACACGCCCCAGGAGCCACAAACCCAAGCTGGACAGGCCTCTCAGGGGTTGAGCCTACAAAGTGACCGCCTCTCCCCAGGGCCGCACCAAGTAACCACTGCCTGCCTCCCGCCCAGACCAGCATCCTCACCTCCTCCTCTCCCACCTGGACGTGATTCTTGGCTTAGACTACAGGGTGGTCCTGAAGTGAGCCAGGCCAGCAGGGCCCAGGCGAGCCGAGATGGAGCCAGCTTCGGTGTCCACAGGCCACATGTGGAGGACAGGGCAGACCTCACCCCACAAAGATGGGTGAGCAGTAAGCCATCTCCCCCACCCAGTGCTACCATGCAGATTCCAGAAAGGTTAGGATGTGTGTACAAATTCAAGATTGGTTGGTTATTTGCTATAAACTTAAAAAGTTAAAAAAAAATACATATATATGAAATTGGCTGGGTGCAGTGGCTCACATCTGTAAACATTTTGGGAGGCCGAGGAGAAAGGACACTTGAGGCCAATGTTCAAGACCAGCCTGGGAAACATAGCGTTACCTCATCTCTATTTGTAAAAAGAGGAAAAAATAAATAAATAGTAAAAATATTTACCTGGTGGAAAAGGATTTTTGATACATCTAAGCAGTGGGGAGAGTCTCCTTGGGAAAGACAGAGATTGGACTGCAGAGTGCTGAGCGTGGGTGCAGGGATGATGCTGGCAGGAAGTAGGCACATGAGAAGCTGGGAAGTACGTTCCTGCCCACTTGGAGGGCCTAGCATGGGTAACTGTGGGTTTCCCTGCATCCCTGCCTGAGCTGTTGGTCCATTCATCTGCCTTATCCATCCAATGTCCTGGCCACCTTGTGATGGGTGGACCATGGACCTGTAGCCCTGGGAATGTAGCCCTCGAGGTGGGGGGCTCTGTCCTGGCAGACGTGGGCCCCATCATTCGTTTCTGCTCCCAAGAGCCCCGGCCCCATGCGACTTCCCCTTCCAAGCTCAGCACCCCCCAATTCCACCCACAAACTCTCCGGTCACTGAGTCACATGAAGCCTCTTCCCATGGCTCATAACCATGGGGCCTTCACAGACACCCAACATCTCAAATATTTGAGGACAGTGTCCCGAATAAGTCAGGAAAACTTTCACTCCCAACCCAAGCATGGCAGAGGCGCCGAGCAGAATCTCTCCAGGAGCAAAATGAGCCTTTCAGTGTTTGAAAATCAAGAAATCACAGATGCGAAGGAGGGCAGTGGAGCTTTTGCGTTCTTTCAAAATGAATTTTTAAATATATGTACAAAGGGACACATGTATCCCGGAGACGGGGCACCAGACGGGTTCTCTCTGACATGACTTGTTCACTAGGGGCCGAGTGTCCAGGCTGAGAGCGAGGGCCCCAGGCAGACTGAGAAGTGTGACATGGGGCTCGTGGGTCACCAGCCTTCCGGAAAGTGCTCAACCTGTTTCTTTGTTCGTAAAACAAGGACCACAGGAGCACTCACCAGCAAGGTTGCTGCGAGGACTGGGCACACATCTACACACAATCTCACACATGCACACACATATGCACACACACACACACCCCTACACACACCTATACATGCTCTCACACATGCACACACACACTGCCACATTTTCTCCCTCTCACACACACACACACAGTCTCACACCCACACACACACCTACCTACTCACAATGCACCCCCTGGTATACAGGCCTGGTACAGCCTAAGTCTACATGTCTGTCAATGGTGTCCTTCTTGCTAGAGGGTGTAATCCGCATGCCTGCTGTGGTCTAACTCCATGTCTGGACTCAATATTCGGAAAACAAAGATGCTGGAGTCAGCTGTGATGGCAGGTACCTGTAGTCCCAGCTCCTCAGGATGCTGAGATGGGAGGATCGCTTGAGCCTAGGAGTTTGAGACCAGCCTGGGCAACAGCAAAACTCTGTCTCAAGAAAATAAAAAAAAAAAAATGTTTTTAAAGACATAAGCAAGCAGTCATTATCCATGGAAGGATTTCAAATCACACCACTCCATATAGCAAAAAATAATTAATTTTGTTTTTCTAGTGTGAGTCCCCCAGAAGCAGATGAGACAGACGGAAGCTCAAGTGGTTTACGTAGGAGGTGGTCCTGGGAGACTCTGGTAGGGTGGGGGAGGTGACGTCGGCAGGGAAGGCCGCTGGTGAGGGGTCCAGCATCAAGATGACCACTTGCGACCCACTGGGGCTCAGTCCCTGGTGTTGCCATGGTTTATACCAGCTCCAGCCTGTCATGGCATGGGGATGCTTCCATAGGGCACTAATTCCTGGCACTTCCTGCTGCTGCAGGGCAGGGCAGCTTTGGTGGAAAGACGAACCTTCGAGAGAGAGGAGCTGAGAACACTGAATACAACACTCAGTTTCACTAAGTCTTCTGTGTGTTATTCTAGTTCATGCATAACAGTTGGCTTTTTAAGTGCGGTGGAAATGTGGCCGGCGTGGCCTGCTATGGCGAGACCCAAGGGGCTATGACGGACCCCATGGCACCCGCTGCAGTCCAGCCCTGGCAGCTTCAGAACACTCATGCCCCACACTGAGCTCACACTTAGCTGCCACCGAGTCTTCAAGGTAACATTTGCCTGTGATAATTTCTAAAAAAAACAAAAAAGACAGAAGTCTTAGAACAGAAACATTCTTGGGCTGGGCGAAGCTCCAGCTTCGGTAGTCAGTGTCAGTCATGGCTGATGTCCATCCTTTCCTCCTCGCCGCTGGCCAGGGGCTCAGCTGGACTAGGTCACTTCTCCAGTGGGATAGCACCGACCTTCAGGGTTCTGAGCCCCCGGCTGTGCACCTTGGAGATCTGTGTTCCTGCTGTGCCAATTCACAGGCCTGGAAGCATAGAGGGTGCCCAGAGAACCCCGGAGTTCTGTGCATCCACCCCCTGCCTCTCCCATGGGACGGTGCACCTGCTGCTTGGTGACAGCCAGACTCACTCATCCAGCAGTAGGTTAGCAAGACTATCACACTGTACAGACAAAAGAGAGATGGGCAGAAGTTAAAAGTTCTAATTTGCCTACAAAAGTAAAGGTGGCATCTGGCTCGCTCCTGGGCCCTAGGGAACACTGAGCACCTGCCCAGAGGATGCCAGTGATGGTGGGGCTGGAGCTGCCCGTCTCGCCTGGCATTGCCAAAGGTTCAGTGGGCAGAAACCCTCAGCCGTCTGAAGAAGCGGTGCATTTCAGATCAGGCCCCAGCAGGAAAGTCCCATGAGGCCCTGGTGAGAACCGGCCAGAGGACATGGGGTCCCAGTCACCTGTTGGACACCATGGTGTGGGCAGGTCCAGGAAGCTTTTCTTCTCCTTTTTTTTTTTTTTTTTCTTTTATGAGACACTGTCCTTCTCTGTTGCCTAGGCTGGAGTGCAGTAGCGCAATCACAGCTCACTGTAGCCTTGATATCTCAGGCTCAGGCAATCCCACCTCAGCCTCCTGAGTAGCTGCCACTACAGACGTGCATCACCATGCCCAGGTAATTTTTTGTTTGTTTGTTTGTTTTGTTTAGAGACAGAAACTCCCTATGTTGCCCAGGCTGGTCTCAAACGCCTAGGCTCAGATGATCCTCCTGCCTTGCTTGGCCTCCCAAAGTGCTGGAATTCCAGGCATGAGCCACCGACTGTGCCTGGCCTCTTCTCTTCTTGTTGGTATTTGTCTATTACACACAGTGAACAGCAGGAGAAATATACCCAAAGGCTGGTGGCAGTGCCCTCCCCTAACTCACCCCTAACCCCACCAACAGACTCCAAACAGAACCAGAGCCCAGAGGTTTATTCTCTCAATGCGGGGGGATTCCGTTGCCACTCGCTGCCATCTCTGCAGGATCACTCCTATGCATCTTCCCTTGGACCTGACTGTGCTCAGTGCCAAGCCCCCGCCCATCCGCTTCCTGGTGAGCGCCTCTCACTGGCTCCTCTCCTTGGATGGGCGCTTGTCTCCCCCTAGGTCACTTCACTTTGTTCTGTTCCTGGCCCAGTGCCGCACTCTTGGATATCAGCCTTTTTTTTCCGAACAATTCATGGATGCTTGTTCTTCCTTTCTGGCAGCATTTAGAAGTTCGTTTTATTTAAAAACAAAACAAAACAAAAAACAACAATAAAAAAAAAAGCTTTATATTCTTGATCTTTCGAGATCTTTCCAGGATCATTTATTTTCATCTTTTAAGTCCAAGAGCTTTCCAGGATGGGCAGGCCTGTGTCTCTCCTCACCTGCCTTGCCTGAATGTGTGAGCGCTTGCGCGTTCCTTCTGCTCTGGGAAATGTTATGCCATTCTTGGTCTCCTGTCCTCCACCCGTGCGCGTCGCTGCTCCTGGAACGCCCTGGGTTTGCAGGGAAGGCTCCCGCGCGCCCTGCCCCCTCCCGCCCGCGGGCTCTCACTCAGCTCTGGCTGCGAGCTTCCTCTTCGCAGTGGCCTTCACCTTCTGTCTAGCTGCGGTCTTTCCTGCATGGTCTCACTCATTTCCCCGTTTGTAAAGCACGTGTTTCCGAGCCCAGTCTGCTTTTGTGCCGTGGCCGCCTGTCCTCAAGGGGCGCGTTTGGTGCCCGCGGTGGCCTCCGTTGCCGTAGCGGCGCTCTGGTTTCCGCTCTGTGGGCCGCTCGCCAGCTGTGTTCCTTTGCCAGTCCCCAGGCTCAGGTCCAGGTACTGCTCCTCCCTGCAGGAGTGACCCGATTGTCGTGGGTCCCGCAGTCACTGGCTCTGTGGACGTTTTGCTCATCTCCTGCTGAGAAGCCTGGAGGAAGCCTGTCTGTCCCCAGCCTCCTTGGGGCAAAGGCCGGCGTGCCCGGGTCTCAGGCTTCAGGGCATTGCCTGCTTGCTGTTCTCTAGGGGCAGATCAGGGGCCGGCCAGCGGGGCCTTGTGGAATGTCACGGG